GTGGACGTGACTTGTCCAGCGCAGCTCCGGCCTGAGGTTCCAGGAGTGTTACCTAGCGCTTCCATGACAGGGGTTGGAATAGCGACCGCAGAAGGTGGGTTTGGGGTGGGGGGTGTCCCATTTAAAAGATACATTGCACAAAGCCTGCCAGACCAGACAAATGCTACTCACTTTTCTCTGATCGTTTTCTATATCCATAAAATGATGAGACTAAATCCACCCTGGTTTTTGTTGTTGTTTGTTTGTTTAGATCCAAAACTGGTGGGTGTGAATGGCTTTATATAAACTGTGAAGTTGGACACAGATGTGGTATCCTCCCTTTCACAAGCAGCAAGTCAAAATAATACACAGGCAGCAAAACAAAACAAAAAAACCGTCAAAACATATGCACGAAGTAAAAAAAATCCTTATTAAAAAATCTTTTCTAAGGGCTGGGAAAGTGGCTCAGTGGTAGAGCGCTTGCCTCGCATGCATGGGGCCCTGGGTTCGGTTCCTCAGTACCACATAAGAAAAAAAAAAGCCGGAAGTGGTGCTGTGGCTCAAGTGGTAGAGCGCTAGCCTTGAGCTGAAGAGCTGAGGGACAGCACCCAGACCCAGAGTTCAGGCCCCACGACCAAAAAAAAAAAGTCTTTTCCAAGTCAAGCGCTAGTGACTCGTGAAGGTAAAACATTATCTTGGCTTGTTTTTGGATTTTTGAGAGTACTTTGTAACCTTACAAGGCCTTGACTCAATGTGTCTTCCTCCACCAAGTACATATAATAAAGTGCCTGCAGGCCCATCTCTCCTAGCCTTTTAACATTAGCTAGACAACAGCTTACTAGATTTTGTCATCCAATGTAAAAGTGTATTTCTGTCCTCAGTTTTTTTTAAGTCTTGATAATTACCTGGAATTTTTTTAAATTTTCTTTCTTTGCTTCAGTATTCTTGATTTTTCTGTTACTACTACTACTAATAGCTATAGTTTATTTAATGCAAGCTGTTAGCCTGTGTCATCTCATTTCTTTTAACAATAAGACAAATATGTCCTATATTCATACAAAATATTGAGGCATGGAGAAATTAGGTAAATTTATCCCCTGCTCATTTGTTGAAGATGAGGTTCCTGATTTAGTCTAACTCTAAAACCCGGTTGTTATTTGGTTTGCCAGTCCTGCGGCTTTGAACTCAGGGCCTGGGCACTGTCTTTGAACTTCTTTTGCTTAAGGCTAGCACTCTACCATTGACCCACAGTGCCACTTCTGGCTTTTTCTGTTTACATAGTACTGAGGAATTGAACCTAGGCTTCCTGCATGCTAGGCAAACACTCTACCACTAAGCCACATTCCCAGGCCAAACCCAGTTTTTTTTTAACCACTGTGTTCTGAGAGAAAGAAAATTAGCCCCATATGTTTGTAAATGGCCCAGTACTCTAAGAGGTCTTAGTGTTGCTAGCAGCTTACGTGGCAGAGCTAGACTTGGTGTTTTGTTGAACAGAAGTAATTTCAGAGAATATCAACAATCCACAATCATGATGGTCAGAACAAAAATAAGACTACTTTGCAATCATGTATGAACATTGACAAAATTTTGAGTGTTTTCCAAGCTACCAAATGGGATATACAAAATGAAAACACCAAACTAATACAATAGTTGTTACTTCTTCACTGTTCATTCTAACCTTCCTTCTTTGCAAATAAGATTTATCAAAATAACCAATCACAGAATTTCTCCTGCTTCCTGACAGTATCTGAACTACAGTATAGATCAAAGTTCTACTTCTCTTAAGCCTTCTATCAAAACACCTAACACGCCAGGCACCAGTGGCTCACACCTGCAATTCCAGTGACTTAGGAGGCCAAGATTTTAGGATCATGGTTTAAGCCCAGGCAGGAAAGACCAGTGAGACTCTTAACCACCTCAAAAAGCCAGAAGTGGAGGTGTGGCTCAAATGGTAGAGTGCTAGCCTTGAACAAAAAAATCTCAGGGACAGTACCCAGGCCCTGTGTTCAAACTCCAGGACTAGCACAAAAACAATAAAACAAACCAACAACAAATCTGGCATCTGGGTGCAGTGGCCTAAGCCTATAATCCTAGCTACTTGGGTGGTAGAGATTGGCTTATTGCTGTTCAAGGCCTGCCTGCCCAGTCAAAATAGTTTGTGAGACTATCGTAACCAGTGACTGGGCTTAGGAGCCTATGCCTGTCATCCCAGCAACATGAGGAAACACAAGTGGGAGGAGACTGCAGTCTAGGTAAGCCTGGGCATAAAGAAAGACCCTTTGTCAAAAATAAACACAAAAGAGGGTAACAGAGTGGCTTGACACAGTCCACCACCTTCTTGGCAAGCACAAGGTCCTGAGTTCAACTGCCCAATATAATTTTAAAAAAGAAAACTTAACACAGAGGTAGAAACTACCTTATTACTGAGCTACTCTATGATTCCCTGTGATGTGTCTTCTCTCTTGCTCAACTTGGTCAGCCAAAGTTACTCCTGGTTGTCTTTCCCCAGAGAACAGAGACGGTTCTTTCTGAGTATCTACCCATTCTATGCAATGGAAAGCATAAAGCTTCCACCTCCAACTATAGCATTGTCACACCCAAACTAGAAGGTTTCTTTTTGTGGATTCTACATAGAGTTTCTTCAATGCAAAGCTATATTTTTAAAAGATAATGAAAAAGCCAGTGTGGTGGTACATGTATGCAATCTTAGCAAATGGAAGGCTGAGGAAGTAGGATTGTGAATTCGAGGCTAGCCTGTGCTACATATCAAGTGTGAGGTCAGACTCAGATATCTAGCAAGCCCTGTCTTTAAAACTACAAATATTAGAAGCACAGGATGCTGAATAACTGAACATCTTTGTTTTTTCTTCATAGTGATGAGGATCAAACCCAAGTCCTTGAGCATGCTAGTCAAGAGCTCTACCACTAAACTTCATAGCCCAGGTCATCATTTTGGTGAAGAAAACAAAAAGACCTTTAACCTGTCAACTCACGCCTTGTACCATGTGAGAATAATTCAAAACAGATCATAGATCTAAATATGAAG